GGCCGTGAGAGCACAATCCCATGAGATTCCATGAGTGACTTGGTAGGTGTATTGTCAAGCTGTCTAGGACGTTCAGCTTTAATGGCATTCCTTGCGAACTGGGGATGCAGAAGAGGATCCATTGAAGGGCACAGTTTGGAGACGTTGAGTGTTGAGAAGCCTAGTGAGTGGTTCAAACATGAACTCAACCCGCAAAGCCTTTTGGCTACAGACTGTCTTCCCAATCCCCTCAGTGCATAGACACAAGTTCAGGCTTAGCCGGTGCCTAGCAGTGCCTTTCAATGCCTGTGCTTAGAGCTCCAAACAGATCTACCAAATTCCTCGAAATCAGTGGGTCGCGTAGTGTAGATCTTGGGAGCAGGGTCGAGTATCACTCCAGAGCAACTTGTACGGGTACCGCGCCCTGAAAGAGTCACCACCACCTGATTGTAGAGAAACATGTTCTTCCAGAGGCCCGCACCAAAATACACTTCCATAATTTTAAAGGAGTGTAGATAGATAGTCGTAGCAAAATACACCTGGGTTCCGAGACCGGAGCCATGCCAGGGAACCGGTGTCAACCCCTCCACAGCAACTCGCTGGGTCGAGGCTGACCGATCTCTGAGGCTTTAAGACTCGGTGTCGTGGCTATGAGGAGGTGAACGGCACAGCTGCTTGGTCAAGCACTTTTTGGAGCACAGGGAGGGGAGATCCGCTATACGTACCAAGAGGTCTGGATCCAATGTATCCTGTAGCCAACTTCTGAAGAAGGTACCTTTGGGTAGAAAGCCTCTAGATGCGACGAACCCCAATCCTCTGGAGGGGTCTGGTGTCGAACCAATCGCTAGGTTTTGAGGGACCGGTCGGGCTGTTTGGAGTGTCTGGGTGAACGTATGTTCTTCGCTGAAGATCAAGCGCACCTTTTTAGGCCCCAATGGTTCAATTGGACACTTACATATCTTTCACGGTCACTGAGGATCACAATAATTCTGTTGGTTTAAACTTCATTTTACCAACTCCTATAGGGATCCAGTCGTACCGAACCTCAGGTACGGTGATGTGTTCGACACTGAGACATGAGACGGTGCCAGCCACTCGGCTCCAGTTGTACCGAACCTGAGGTTCGGTACCTCCCTGGATCCCAAGAGAGGTGGAAAGTGACCGTAAATAGGACCTGAACCTGGGGTACCGAACTGGGATAAGCGAACTAGGGTCCTTCAACCTCTGTTGGTGGATGTTCTTCGTTGGCACCGGCCGCCCTAGGAGCGGCTCGCGCTGCCGCCCGTGCCGCTGGGCCGTGGGAGCTTCGGTTACTGGGCCAAGCGTCGATGGCCATGGCCCTTTATCGGTGCTTAATGCTCCACGCCAGCTGGAGTAGGCGACAGTGGCAGGGCGCCGAAGGGAATGAAGATGAGTGAAGTGTGGGGGGGGAACACTGTAATTCATGTATCCCTGGGGCTTCCCTAGAAGGTGGTTAGACCCTCGACCCCCTAAACCCACCCCCAACATCCCCAACCATCTAGTCAGGAGCTAGTTGGAACCCTAGGGTATATCAATTCCACGTTCCGTAGTTCTTCGATCGGATGCTGCGACTTGAAAGGCGTTTCCTTTCATCCAATGAAGACCGGCAGAGTCGGTGTTGAAAGAAGAGCAGGATTTGTTTGTCACAGTCATAAGATCAGGAGAGGACTGAGATGGGGCAGGGCCCACCACTGGGGTGAAGAGATTGAATCTGTATTGATCCACCTGGTTCTTCTGTTGGTGACCGATCTTGATATCCGTTGATATCCCGGTTGGTTCGCTCACAAACAGGCCTGTTTGACAGGTCACTGGCTGGGCCTGAAGAGAAGGTCACTGACAAGTGCTTTTGCTGGAGGCTGGCCTTCGAACGAAGAAGATGTTGCTTCTGTTGCTGAGCTTCGTCGACAGTCCTCGCGCTGGATATGGCTGATCCAAGAACTGTATAAATACTAAAAAGGATCTTTGTATTGTAATGAATTATAGTACTATCATTGTCACCGAACATCCAAATTCCCTTGGTTAGACAGGCATACTCAGAGTTCACAGAACGCATTGGTCAAGAATCATGTTTCCGATTCCCCTGAAAGTGTTTGCAGTGTTTGCAGTGTTGATGTTCCTTCAAAGGACTTGGCAGGTTAGAGGGCGAGCCCTTTCACCCGTGCAAACAGCTTTTGTAAGCCATCATAAGCTATCCTCATGCTATCCTCATCTATCCTGGGAAGTAGTTGTTCCAAATCTATTGTACTCTCCATCCAAACATGGACGTGGAACATGGCCCTTGGAAGATGGTTTTCCTCTACCAACAGGTTGTTTTGTACGTTGGAGGGAATTAAGTGCATAGGGCCTAGGGTTCTGATGAAGCTACCGCAATAGAATCACGGGCCTCGCCGTGGCGCGATTCTATTGTGGCCGGGCTTGTCTTATTAGACAGAGAGTCAAACGTGTGGCAGTGTGGATCCTTAACTCAGCAATCACGTTGTCCATTGGTAGAATTGATTCCGAATAGCATAGTATCCGTTTCAAAGGTGGTTAGAGTGGGTGCCAGGGGGGTCTAACCACCTTGTGAGGATATGGGACAGTAACCCTATAGGGGTTATAACATTTACATGTTGCATATGTTTTTCTACTTCGGGCAGCTGACTTCTGGATCATGAATCTGCGCGGACGACTGCGCGTCGCCAAAGCGCAGCACGCGCAGCGTAACAAACCGGGCTCTCTTTGCAGCGGCCCATCGTTGGCACACAAAGATCATACAAAGATCAGATCAACCCCTCAACTGAAATCCATCTTCATGGAGTCTGCCTGTTTGTACCTCAGAAAATGGGTAATTGGAGTGATACCTGTTTTTGTAAAGTAGGGTCATGTCCCATTTTCTAAGGTACTTTGGAGGGTCCGTCTTGTCTTGAACACTTTCCCTCGTCATGTTCAATCCTGTTGCAATGCCTGCAAGCTGGTATCTTTGGGTCCAGAAACAGGTGATGTTTGCAATAGCTTGCCCATGAACTGTAGGTGTCATGATCGAAAGGCGCAGTCTATGCCATGTCCATGACCTGGCAGCACGTGACGAAAGGCTTTCACCGATCAGTGCCAAGGGATTGATCAAGTAGCTACTGAATCTCCAGGAGCAACAGGCGGGGTATGGTTTGTTTGTTTGACTCCAAGAGGTCTGTTCAACTCACCTGCAACAGAATTAGAACGTGCTGTAGACCACATCCTGTTGTGACCAATGATTGGGTCTTGCCGAGTTGTCCTTCTGGATCTGATACCCGAACGCTCCGGCAAAGGGATGAGTGGAACCCTCGGAGAAGTGACCGGGGTTCTCCAGTTCGGGGTCACCTGATCCACACGGGGGCGTGGGCACATTGGTCAGGAGATGTGAGGACGGTCGTGAATCACAATCAAACGAGGCAATGCAAGACCAACAAGGAGAAGAAGTCATGTTTGTGGGCCTTGGTGGAGGAAGAAGACATCTTGTATTTGCAACAGCAACCTTTCAATTTGGTGGCTTCCCGATTTGTCTGATGCTGCCTCAAGTTCAATTTCTAGCAGGGACCCAGATTGCGTTCACTGGTATGAAATGCGGGAAGTTTCAAGGCAGCAGGGCACCTGAACACGTTTGATAATGCTGCTGCCGCCGCTGCTTCTCACTGTAGCAAAGTCACTGAAAGAAACACCAATGCTGTATTTCTTCCGCAGCCAAAAGAGCACCTGCTGGGTGAGCCCAATATTCTCGTGGTTTAAAGAAGAGATCCTCAAAATGAGGAAATCTCCTGCTACTTCGGAGCCTCCTGCTACTTCGGATCCCACTTTGGCTACCAACCTTGATCAGCTAGTCGTGCCATCGTTTCAGAACGAACCTGACATCCTGGCGTGGAACCTTTGGGGATTCTTTGGAAGAAAAGCCCAAACGCTCCACCATGATCCTGGAGGCCCTTATATTGAGACAAAGCGCCAGAAACAGAAGGGGCGACGTGGCTGTTGGGACTGTTTTCATCTTGCAAGGACTGAATCTGCGCTTGTTGGGACAAACACTGACAATCCATGGCCACATGCTGCCACGTGATCCGCTTGAGATGAACATTCAACTTGATGACAGGAGTTGGATCCTGTGGGTATCCGGAGTCTGGTCCGTTGTTCAAGGTGTTTGTTTAGCTTGCCTCAAGACGAGGTGTTCTGCGGAAACCCCGGCGGCCAGAAAGCTGAGGAGCACAGGTGAGCCTACAGGTCAATGAAATCGTTTTACTTTTACTGGGTCAGACTGGACTTGTAGGGAGAATGTTGAGTCTTTTTTGGCCAAATTTTACGGCAGCAGTGATCAAACATGAATTTACCACAATTTACGCATTTAGATACACCTCCAAAACATGTCAGTCAATGGTTCCAAACACCTTCAGATCTATCCTTAAGCATTCAAAAACCTGCTGAGGAGCTAGTTGGAGCTCTAGGGATCTCTAGGGTGTATATTATATAATATTATATATATATATACCAGGACCCTCCTGTCGGGGTGCCCTGTCTGGACGCCTATAGGTATTGTGGGCTAGTCCATTCAACACCCCGACAGGAGGGTCCAGGTATAACCGCAAAGAGGTGGCTCCTCCACGCCGTTGCTGTTCCGCGACTGACGTCAGGAAGTCCTCCGATCAGTCTCTACGTCCGACGTTCGACCGGAGTGGCTCACCGACGTGATCCGAACAGGTTCAGTGCAGTTTGGGTGTTGGCAGAGTTACCAGTGCTTTCAGAGGCTCGATGGCACCAGTTAGCCACAAGTCTGTAGGTGGTTTATATGGACCCCCATCTCCCATCTAAAAGACATGCTGTAGGGGTGCCAGTGCCATCTACTCTGAAACCACCGTATTTGATTTTATGTTATAGTTGGTATTGGTTGGGTTTTCCTAGCGGCTTATTCAAGAAACGCCTCCAGTCCTCCTTTGCAATTCCACTCATTTCACTGTACATGTTTAAAATCTCATCACATGAAGTGTATCTCTCGCGCTAAGGGACGCAGCAGCAGGCACGAATGTCTCAGGGTGACTGGTGCAGCCGGGCCTTGCTTGGCTGAGGCTGAGTCCATCAGGCCTTGTTAACATAACATGTTTCAGGTGTGCTTTGCTTTATTGTTTGCAGGGAGAAAACAACTTCTTTGCCCTATGTCCAATCTCACACTTTGCTCTACTTGTGGCTGCTGAGGGAATCACCATGTAGTCCCCTGTCACCATCATCCTCTCATTGGAGAGGTGATCCTCAAGTGAAACGATGCCCGTATGTACTACTTATCAATCCCATGATGGGACTCAGCTGAAATAGTTTGTCCAAATCAGACATCGGATAAATCCACCTCTTTCAGGGGTGTCAAACATTTGGAAGAACCTACGTATTTGAGTGCCAAATAGTTCATGTCGGGATTGCATCGGTCACCCGTGTGGAACGTTCGATTTGTGCGATCCCAATGCCTGAAATCTCCCCAAATTTGGCATTTACACCTTTTGCCTGGAATCTTCTTACTTCAAGGTGTATTTGACTGGTCAAGAGCCTTGACAGTTGGTTTGGTTCTCAGCACCTAGGACCCCGAACGACAATCCCCAGAGTGCAAAAAAACATCATCTATCCTTTGTAAAGCGGTATTGACATCAGGCAAATGCTGGTGTTTGCACCACTTCCATTCGCTCCCTAGAAGCACCTGGTTCTCGACCTGGCTACCCTTCGTTGGAGGTCGACCAACATTTCCGGAGCCACTACTGGAGCCACTACAAGGCTGGATGGCTGTGAGATCCCCATGATCTAGCTACTCCATGTGGTCTGTGGAGTGAGTCTCTATAAACTCAAAAGCTTTGGACCCGGAAACTGGCATCGGAAAGTGCCACCTACTGTATCGTACCTCTGGTTGTGTTCTTCACCACCTCCCAAGATGGAGGTGTGTTTTCTTGACATCCCTCGAGGTGGCCCTTTGGAGATAGAAACGCATTTAAGGAACCCAGCAAAGGACCCTTGTGAAGCTGGCATTGTGCTGGTATGTTTGCTACACTAATTCAGATAATTCAGTGTAAGAGAACAGGTCACCTTTGGGGGGGATTGGGGACCCGCCCCACTTGATCGATAGGTGGACCCTATTTTCCAGGGAAAATGAGGGAACCAGATTCTGCCGAGATCTTCCAACTGCATACCATTTCTGCCTGTTCAGCCCTAGATCCAACATACCTCCGTTTCGGTTCGGTGCCCTATAGGAATCCCCTGGAAGTTCCTTTCACTGATTAGCTTCTTTCAGTATCTTTCAGTCAGTTCATATTCAACAGCTTCATGGGACGGACGTGACCTGTTGATCTGGGGGTGAGCATCTTGTCATCCTTCCAAATCCCATGGTCAAATCATAGGGTACCCCATTTCCTCTATGAAATGGGGTGGGTCAACCCTATTATAAAACGTTGAATGGGGTGGGTTAGGTATGTCAAATCGTTTGAACCAGTTGAATCTGGAGTCCACCTTTGATCGACGAAAGGCTTGTGAGTCGCCTCCTGCCGAGGCGATCGTGGAGGCTTCAGAGCTGCGAGCCGTGAGGTCCGGAGCTTTCCGCTGTTGGTGAGGTCCGCTTTCTGAGGTACGTCACTTCGAAGGTTGAACGGGTCACCCAGATCGATGAACACATGCGAGTGAGCCGTGCTGAAAGCCACAGTCTGCACGCACGGCCTGCCGTGCGTTCGGGGAGCCTCGAAATCGATTTCGACCTCATAGTTCAGTTCGTTGATGGAGTCTCTAGCCAGCACTCCACGGGGGTTCCCCGACACCGGCCCTTGGATGGATCTCCATGGTTCACATCCCTTTTGGAAGGTTCAGGTATTGGTATGTTGTGTGTGTGTTTACTTGTTGCACTGGCTTTGTACCGATTGTAAGCAATCCCAAAAAGATCCAAAAAAGTAAAAGACATAATATCTCTAACTTATGTTTTTTCTCATTGGGGTGGTAAATACACCAGCTTACCACTTGCCACTTTTCAAGTCTCCAAAAGCTACGACGTCGGAGATCTGTAGAGTCGAGTGCTGGTACATGGAGTGTCTCCGTCTTTCCACCTCTCTCGAGCTGTTTATTCGCCGTGCGGACGTCGCGTCGGGTGAAAGACGACGCTGGACGTCCAAAAGAGATCCATTCTGGTCGACCCGGGTTCATGGTGGGAATTTTCCACCACTGCCCCTAGGGATCCAGTCGTGCCTTCTCAGAAGGTGGGACTGGGGTGGGTGGGTGCCCTGGTCGGGTCTAGGTGCCGCTTCCTCAAGTTCGGTACGACTGGATCTTTGGGGTGCCACCAAGGTGACAAGATATACCAGCACCCGACTTCACAGGTTTTTCCTGGTGACAAGTCCGGTGCCCAGAAACCGCCTGTGAGTGTCCCAAGACAGCCTGGCCAGGAGGGTTCTGGTACCTGATGGTACCTGGTTCTTCCAAGTGACCGAACTTGATACGGCTAGGGGTTTGAGGTGACTTTAGGCTTTAGGCCTGTTTGACATGTCACTGGTTGTCCAAAAAGGGTCACTTAGGAGAAGCTGGTACTTGTACCATTTTGCGTCCTTTTTCTGAGGAAGGCATTGTTTGTTTGGGGAAACTGGGCCAAGCCGACCTCCAGTGCCAACCTCGGCCGCAAACCACCGGCCCTTTCACTGCGCGCGTGCCCTCCAGTTCCATTCAGTGGCTCAAAGTCCCGCAACCCATCGCGTCGCACGCGTCAACACCGCGTCAACCGCGCCACCCTGCCATGATGTTGAGCACCGAAGAGGCGGGGCGGACGTTTTCGGGACGTGGAGGTTCACGCACCATTCCCATCATCTGGAGGTTAAGCATCCTCCGTCCACTAGCCAGAGGTTGAGGGACCCAAGGGGATAGTGTGTAGTGAGCCGGGGAGGTTAAGCGAACTTTGCAGGGGACACCTCACGAAACATGGAACAGGCTGAACTTTTTTCGGCTTTACGACCTGTGTGTCGTGAGCTTACCGGGAATACCCTGGTGGATAGATGGAACAGGCTGAAAAAGGTATAATGACCGCAAATTGTCCAGTTGAGGGAGTGAGCCATCAATCTGTGAAAAAGAGCTCCAGAGAGGCCCATGGAACAATTTGTTGAGATCCCTAGAGCTTCACCTCCAGCTGCCCCAAGCACCTGGCCTTCTCCCACCCTGGGTTTCCGTTCGGAACCACCACCGTAGTACCGAAGTGGGGACCTCGGCGCAATCTTCTTCCCTGTGTCCCCCCAAAAGACTACATGACAGAGAAGGCTCCACCAATTCTGCAAGGTACTTGAGGGCTTTAACGTGCTTCGACTGGACATAGACCCATCTAAGGAGTATTGGTTTGTTCAACTGTCGGGGTTGGTTGCTTGATTCATAGAGAGGATACATACCCCCGTGGCCGTGTGCACAAACCAATATTACGGTTCTACCTGGCACATCCTCCCCGACGATATTCTTCCCCATTGGTTGGGTCCACATCACTTCTTTGGGAACGGAGGTCATGTGCATCAACTTCTCCGCAGCTCGTGGGTCAGATGAGACAAGGCTGTTGCGGAGCAAGGCGCCGGAGACGTGGCGCCGAAACCGCAAGCGCAGTCTTCGAGGTTAGCGATGATTCATCGGCAAATCGTCCCTATAACTTATATTGGGCTCTACAGTCATACCTTTTGTGATGATACTGTAAGACCAAATCTATCCCAAACATTCCCAAGCACCTTCATCTAGAGGGACATTCAAGAGCCCTTGGAACCTACAAATGACGCCTGTTCCGCCACGTCTTGGCCGCGTTCGATCGAATCACCCGCCCACCAGTCCACCTTCTCCGCTCGTGATCACCGTACGACGGTTCCCATGGTTCCGTACGAGGTCTGTCAGATGATCACCACTGCGCTGGAGGCGATGCACGAAGCCACTTGCAAGGCACGACCTGGGCGGCTTCGCATGGCGACCGCGGGAGGAGCGGCGAGGAGCGGCGAAGATCGGGGTGAGAGGCACACCGGCCGGGTGTTTTTGGGGCAACAGCGGCTTGGACTTTAGTGCTGGACCTTCAGGACACATGGATTATTATATATAATAAGCTTTTTGACTCATGGAGTTAGTAGCAGGCTTGAAACCATCTTAGGTACGACCGAAGTCGGGTCCCAGGAGCAGACTCTAGAGTCATCCCGTTGCACCTCGAGAGGTCTTTGCTGACCATGGCATCAGGGGAGCTGGTGGTAGTTCAATCTCCCTATAGAGATCCAGTCATACCGAACCTCAGGTTCGGAGCCTCCTGGAGCCTCCTGGCGCACCTGTCTCATGTCTCAGTGTCAAACACATCACCGTGCCAGGGTGGATCCGTGCATCCCTAAGAAATGTGTTTGTGTCGAACACATCACCAAACTGACGAACTCTCGGGGCTTCTTCGCTTGTTCGCTGGCGGACCAATGGTGGGTCCGGTTCCGTGGCTTCCGTGCTTCGTCGGTGCGGTCCCGCAGACCCTGCGCCGGCGGGTGGGCCAGCGGTTGCGACGGAAGTTGGGGCGGATTTTGAAGCAAGAGGAGTTCGAACAGGCCAGGGCCGCGCCCGACTGCGCGCGCGGTCGACGCAGCGTCGACTACTAAGACTGAGACGGAGAAGAGAGGCAAAGGTGTTACCATCAGGTTGGATTATTTGGATCGGATTGTGTGTTGTGTTTCTTTTTGTGGGTGATGGTCTTTGAGAGTTGGTTTGAATGTTTGATATTGATGCAATTGGATGATTAGTTTGGATGTGCATGAAGTTGGAAGATCATACGTACTGATTCTAATAAATATTTATATGTCTTTAAAACATATCTAGATACCTTGTGTTTGGAGGCCCGGACTTTCTTGCAGAAACATGGGCTGTTGGCTGTTGTGTGCCTCTCACTCCTCTTCAGGACCTGGACTCGTCTCCCCAGTGGCCAAAACAAACAGGTCGCTCCAGGCTCCAGCCACGGCTGGTCCCCACTGGCCCTTCCAAACAGAAGCATGGAAGATCGAATTTCCTCTATGAACCATGGCCGCCCGCGAGTCGATTTTGGACCATTGGGAAACGAGTCGAAGGTATTTTACAGACCATGTTGGAGCACTAAAGAACAGGTGCCAGCAGTTCCAGGTTTTTTGTCCCGCGTTTGTGATGGTCTGGGCACTGATAGGCACCCCTCCATCCCGTGCGGCATCTCGACATAAAACTGACTGCTTGCGGTTTCCGTGAGATAAGGACCACATGCACTGCATTGCTACCTTCAAGCCCTATAGTTACTATGTTCACTGATATCTATTAGAATCATGAGACCTCCCCAAAGACCCCCGAAATAGACCACGAACCATCGGTTCCGTGGAGTTTTTTAGGGGGTTTGGTTATACAAGGGATGTCTAACCACTTGTGGGTCGTATATGGAGTGTGAGGGTTTACCTCTTTGGGCCTCCTTCCGGTCGCGCCGGGACTCCCGGTTCCTGGCGATGGAAATGGAACCCCTCAGGCCTTGGCGATCTACAAACGCTATGAAGACAACCTGGACGACCTTCCGGAGGCTCCGGTGGATCCGCTGTCGTGACCGGGAGCGAAATCCAGCCATGACTTGATATATGGAGCCTTGTGAGCTTACTATATACAGGTGCTTCTAGAAATCCTGCGCCCCCACATTCTATATAATTCTATATGGGGATTAGGGCATCCGTCTCCAACATTGTTTTTGATGTCTTGGAACTTGGTCGATGGCACAGTTCTCAACTGACCAGACATTGCGACCACATCCCTACTATTGATGTATTCCCCACCCCAGTACCATTCACAGGTGTCCCATCCAATAGCAATTCTTTGGGTCTTGCTTAAAGCGAATTGAATCCACTGTAGATGAGGGTAGATGAAGATCCTGGAAAACTGTGACTTGTGCACATGTGGTTCTAGATGGATCATTCCCCGTCTTGCAACACAGGACATACCAACCCATCGGTAGAGGACACTGGAACCCGCCCCCTTCGCCGCGACTGGAACTGCCAGCCGACCTTTTTCGTGCGGAAGAAAAGGCGCTGTTCCGGTAGCACGGTTCTGCCTTCGCCCAGGATGCACAGGAATCTGAAAGCAAGGAGTGGAGCGATGGGGAGTTCATGGGGTGTACAGTAGGCGCAGACCATGCGGCTGTGCAAAAAAGGTGTGTGTGTACATAAAGGATAAGTGGACTGCTGCATACCGTTGCTATAAATGTCCCTACCAGTACCAGGATGGTTCTGCATCTCCAGATGGAGGGTTTTATTTTTCAGCAGTCAACAAGGGACATGTAGCAGTTGAGTACGTGAACCAAGTCTTCTGTGCTTTGCAGTTCCGTTCAGGCTAAGATCATGGCCAAATATGATCACCCGGGGACCTTTTGTTTGACCCATTGATTGGACAGCCTTTGAATGCCCTTGAGGGCTTCATTTGCAATCACATCCAGGTGATGTGTCGGGTTGACATATGGAGGTTTCGGCAGAACGTCAAAAAAAACTGCCAATGAATGTCAACCAATGTCAACAACATATTTCCCACAGTGGGTGAGGGCAGGAATGGTGCATCCAGTG